CACGTCATTGCACTCCAGCCTGGGTAAAAAGAGCGAAACTCCGTCCCAAGGAAAAAAAAAAAAATTTTTTTCAGTAAAATTTCAAACTAGGGGAAAGGGAAACTTGAAAGACTATTTGAAAAAACCTCCTACATAAACTTTCCCAAAGGATTAGTGTTTCCAGGATTTAAAATGTCTCATAAATCAAGGCTGAAACCTCTTCATAAGCATACCAAACAATACAATCCCAGCAATCAAGAGTCTACAACAAAGATAGTTAGAAAAAGGTGCCCTCTACACAAGTGAAACACTACCATTCTTCCTGGCACTGAGCCCTATATTTTCCTTCAATCTGCCAAGGGCATCCCTTTCGGTAAACAAAATACATTTTATTATTCTATATTATTTTGTGTCATTATTCTGTATAATTTATCTGTATTATTCTGTATTGCTCATATAATTATTCTGTATAATTTTAAATGTTGTTTCAAGATAACTCTGATTCTTGTTTTATTTTTAAAATGTGCAAAAGTATATTATGAAAATAGATATTCAAAATCATAATATTCAAAACCAGAGGTGGTTTCACAGACGGGATGGGGCGTGGTAAGGATGGTATGGCCATAGACAACAAGTGGTTTCATAGAAACCTTCTGGTCTCAAATGAAGAAACGATGTAACAATGATACAGGCTACAGTGAGTCAAATTTGCTTAAGTCTAAAAATATCCCTAGTAGTCAGGACAAGGAAATTCAATATTTTATATTGGGTCCCAGAGATAAAGATATCTGAATATACATAAAATGTAATAATTATTCCATCTATTTAAACTCAGGAAAACCACTGTGATCATTTAAATTCAGAGAGAACAAATTACATTTTTAAATGGGTCTCATTCTTGCCCCCACCCCCAAGACAGAGTCTTGCTCTGTCACCCAGGCTAGGGTGCAGTGGCATGATCTCGGGTCACTGCAACCTCCAATTCCCGGGTTCAAGGGATTTTCCTGCCTCAGCCTCGTCAGTAGCTGGGATTACAGGCACTCACACCACGCCCTGCTTTTTTTTTTTTTTTTTTTTTTGAGATAGAGTCTTGCTCTGTCTCCCAGGCTGCAGTGCACTGGTGCAATCTCGGCTCACTGCAACCTCCGCCTCTGCGATTCAAGTGATTCCCCTGCCTTAGCCTCCTGAGTAGATGGGACTACAGGTGCAGGCCACCACACACAGCTAATTTTTGGTATTTTAATAGAGATGGGGTTTCACCACGTTGGCCTGGATGGTCTCTAACTCCTGACCTGGTGATTCGCCCGCCACAGCCTCCCAAAGTGCTGGGATTACAGTAGTGAGCCAATGCACCCGGCCTGGGCCTCATTCTTTAAACGATATTTTGGCCGGGCGTGGTGGCTCACGCCTGTAATCCAAGCACTTTGGAGGCCAAGGCAGGCGGATCACCTGAGGTCGGGAGTTCATGACCAGCCTGACCAACATGGTGAAACCCCGTATTAAAATAAATAAATAAATAAACGATATTTTTACATGAGGGGCTACCTCACTTCACCTCTGCATAATCTTTAACCTAGTCTCTAAAACTGGAGATGGATGGGAAGAACCTAAATTTGTGACGTATTTAAAACCTGAAAAGATGTAAAGATTTTAAATATTTTAAGGGTTTTATTTGCTCATTCTAATTCAAGGAGTCGCCTTTGCACACACCTCTCTCCCTCTCCTAAGTAAAAGACAGGAACCAATTGTTGTATAACTCCTCCCTTCCCCCTTCAACCCAGCTAACATACAAAGGAAAGGACTTTCTCTATTGTGCCCCTGTAATGAATCTTTGTTAACTAAAACCCAATTCAGAAAGAGTTCTCATTTAATTTTTTTAAATCAGCAAATTGAAAACTGTAAAGATAACAGACTTATTATTGCAAGAAAAGTAACGCCAATTTCTGAAAATGTTCTGATTATGTCTTAAGGATTTGGTCTTTCTTTGGCACTGGGGAGAAAAAAGCAAAATCACCATCCTCCTCTCAATCTACGGTCCATTAAAAAACCACAAAAAACAAACAAAACAATTGATCAAAATGTAAATTTAAAAATAAAAATTTTAAGAATTGACTGACCTCTTTTTTCCGTTAAAATGTCTCTAAGCTGCCCACAAAGCTGTCTGGTTTAATCTTTTTGTAAAATCCAAACACTTACTACAAAAGCCTAACCACCGTTAAGAGAACATTCATCTTAAAAACATTTTATATAATGTATTCCCAGTGTATACCTGTTAATCCTGTAAAACAGTTATTAATGTAATCAGCTAGGGAAAAGGGTAAAAGCAGGCACCGAAAGTTCAGTTTCAATATAGGTATTGCATGGTTTTTCTCACTGTGATTTCTACAAGACACCCGAAGTGAATACCATTTCATTTTCTTGCAGAGACATCATTCTGGTACAACTACCTTTTTATTCCTTTCACTTAAATTATTCAGATTTCATTTTCACTCCCAGTAGCAATCACACATTTTACAAAATACATTCCACAATAAGGATAAAAGGCCTTGATATCCTCCAAACAAGGTCCATTTAGCTCCACAGCTGGATCAGCAGAACATTTCTTGTACACGCAGAAAGATAAACAAGAAATCAGAAATAGACATTACCTGGATTTTGGGGGGTGAGGGGAAGAAGTGTGGGAACTGGGAATCCCAGGGTCAGGGGTGGAAATTTTCTCTGTATACCTTTCACACGCTTTGAACCCATAAAAATGTACTGTCTATTTTAAAAATAAATAGGTTTATAAATGGAAAAAAAAATCTTTAAAATAAAGGAATTTCAGGGACACATGATCTGCTTAGTTTTAAAATAGCCTGCTTTTATCAGTAGCATCTGCTCTTACTCTGCGAAAGGTAAGATGCTCCTTTGAATGCAGTCGTGAGCAAAGTGCCAGCTAAGCCCTTTTTAATACAGTAATATTCCTCCAGACTGCCGCTTTCCAAGGCAGCTCGCATCCTCCGCCCCCTCCTCCCTCTGTGCATTCTGAGATTGGCTCTCCCGATTCCCACATAAAGTGGGTCCTGGCCGCCATTTTAGAAAGTCATTCACACAAGCCGGACCAAAGCACCGTCCACTAAAAAACCTTCCAAAACTGCCTTGGACGATTTCCTCCTTCTTCTCTCTGCCCCCTCATCTTGCAGAGGGGCCAAACTCCTTTGCCATAGGCATGCAATGTCTGTGGAATCTGCATAATGAGAAATGACACGTCTGGGCACCTAACACGGAGGAGCCAGCGACTGCTGCAATGCACGTGCTTGCACATCAGTGCAAACGAATTTCCCAGGCAGAGACCTACAGATGAAGTCCACAGGGGATTAAAGTGAGCACGTCTAAGTAGTTTTTCCACTCCAATAATCTGCACCTAAATTATTTTTCCATCAAAACACTGATGATACTGGGGGAGAAGGCAGGAGGTGGGGGGCGGGTAAGGGGTGGAGCAGCGCCAGGAAGAGAAAGTTCCCATCTGCTTCCCAATCCAGCCCGAGGTCTCCCCTTCATCCTAGGGCACAGAGGTGAATTTTTGCTCCCTGCCTCCCCCCGCCCTCGCCTGGTTTCTCAGGCACAACATAGTAAACACCGGGAGAGTCCCTGGAAGCGCGCACCTCCCCCCCCGCCCCGGCCTGCCGAGGACAGCTCGAGCAGGTTATGAATGGCCCCACGATTCCCGGCTCCCTTCCACACGCGGACACGCGCAGTCGCGCGCTCCAGCGGCGAGGGTTTAATGCCCCAGTAACAGCAACCACCAACACAATCAATGATCCTCCATTTAAAAGACAGGAGCTCCGCTGCCGCTGCTTCCATTTCCTTACCCAAGCGGCTCAAAGCGAGCGACGCAATCTATTTTTCCCATGGTGACTCATTAATGAGGACACCTCATAATTTCCTCCACTCACTAGATAGTAAGGGAAATTAAAACCCAAACTTGAAACCTTCCAGGGTCTTAAATATCCCAATAAACTATAATTTTCGAGGACAATCACAGATTTGCTACCGTCCCTCTGAATTTGCACCAAGCCAATCGTCATTTTAATAAGCGTTTTACACGGAGGCCTATCCGTTACGGTACACAGGCAATTCACAAAGAAAACGCGCTACATGCTACTCGGTAAGATGTATCAAGGACAACACTGATTCTTATAATTCACAAAAATTCAGGTAAGGTGGTTGTTGTTTTTTAAGCTACATCTCATCGTAAAAGGTTTGTAATGTTTAACCGTTTGATTCCTGAATTCAGGGGTGGGGGACACCAGGGTCTTAGGGTGGCCAGGGAGTGCAACCCGGGGCTTCCGGCGCCGGGGCGGGCACCCTCCTGTCAGAGCCCGCGGTCCCCTCCGCCGGGGACGAAGGAGACGAAACGGGCGCACCAACTTATTTGGCACCACCTTCCACCCAGCCCCGCAAAAACGAGAAACGTTTGCCATTCCCCGTGAGTTTCAAGGGTGCAAATCCTCCGGAGAGGTCCTAGGTGGTCTCTCCCCGGGTTCCCGGCGCGCCACAGTACCTACCGCGACTTCTGTTTTCGCACCGCCTTTCCCTTCGCACGGAACCCTCCCGCAGTCAGACATTGCGGAGCGCCCGCAGAGCGGCTCCGAGTGGTGGCGCCGGGCCGGGCTGTCGGGCGGGCTCGGGTCCCCGCTGCTCCGGGCCGGGCACGGTGCGCAAGGACGCGACCCCACCGGCTCCCGGCCGACGCGAGGGCAGCCCCGGGGCGCCGGCTGCTCGGAGGCCGAGCCTCGGCGACCTCCCTCGTCAGGGACGCCGCCACCGGTGCCCCGCGGGCTCTTCGAGGGCGGCGGGGCTCGACCGCCCGCACCGCCGACACCCGAGGCCCAACCGAGCGGCTGACGAGGTCCCACAGCGCCCGTGGGTCCGGGCTGGGGTCCCCCCACCAGCTCCGCGCTCCGGGAGGGGCCGGCAACGGGCCGGGCGGGAAGCGGCGCCCGAGAAGCGAGCGCGGCCGCGGGCCTCGTGTCACTCACCGTTTGAAATGCTCGATGATCTTCTCTTCCCGCACGTTCTCGGGTAAGTTGCCCACCCAGAGGTGCCTGGTTTCCCGGACCATGCTGGGCGGCGTGCCGGCGACCGCCGCTGCTGGCTCCCCCTCGCCGGCTTCGTACGAGACCGTCAGCGCCGGGAGGCGGGCGCCGGGGCGGCGGCGGCGGCGGCTGCGGCGGTGGCGTCGGCAGCGGCGGCGGCTCCTCCGGCTCCCCCCAGTGCAGAGACCATCCCTCTCCCCCAGGTTCTGACTCTCGGGCCTCGCAGCTCAGCTCTGCCGCCACCACACACCCGAAGCCGACCCTCGCGCTCCGGCGGCGCATGCGCCCGGACAGCGGCGGGCGGGGGGAGCGGGAGGAGGGGCGAGCGGGACCCGGGCGGCAGCGACTACGACGGAGCTGGCGCTGTGGCAGCCGGACGCTTCCCACCGGCGCGCGCGGCCCGCCTCCCGCCACCGCGCCGCCTACCACTCGCCGCGGGCGCGCGCGCGTCCTCCAGCCCGCCGAAGTGGAGACGCCGAGTTCCTCCCAGCAGGCGCGCAGGCGCGCGGGCCGGGCGACGGTGTGAAGAACGCCGGGCGGGGAAGGAACGCTCGCGCGCTCGGCCCCGGTACGCAGGCGCGCAGCCGCTCGAAGAGGTCGGCAACCCTGCGGGTTTTGGGTCCGGCTCCAGCGCGGGGCAAGGAGGGGCAGGGGAGGTAGGGCGGTTCTCTAGCCCCTCCAGCGGTAACCCCAGGCGCAGGTCTAGTGGAAGAAATGAAGAGAAACGGAGTTGGTTTCGACAGGGCTACGAATCAAAGCGACTGCCAAGGCCTGTCCCCTAAGAGCCAGGACCCTTTCGTCCTCCGCTCACCCGGCGGCCAGCTCCCGGCGTTTCCGAGTACTTGGATCCCCGCCTGCTTGGGAAAGCGATGAAAACAAGGATGCCCTTCTCACTGCCCCGCTGAGCAGCGACGGCTTCAGAAATCCATCCCATGCAAGAGCCATGGGCTTGTAACATTAAGCAACGGTGTTTTGTTTTGTTTTTTGTTTTGTTTTGATACTGAGTCTCGCTCTGTTGCCCAGGCTGGAGTGCAGTGGCACGGTCTCGGCTCACTACAACCTCCGCCTCCCAGGCTCAAGCGATTCTCCTGCCTGTCTCCCGAGTAGCTAGGATTACAGGCACCTGCCCCCACGCCCGGCTAATTTTTGTATTTTTATTAGTTGTCAGGATTTCACCGTGTTGGCCAGGTTGGTCTTGAACTCCTGACCTCAGGTGATCCCCCTGCCTCGGCCACCCAAAGTGCTGAGATTACAGGCCTGAGCCACTGCGCCCAGCCTAAGCAACTTTTTTATATAGGATCTTGCAAAACCATTTGCAAGATATTCTTGCTGATCGCTAGGGTATACGAGGAATAAAATGGAAATGAGACAGGAATCCAATATTGCTCCCTTCAGAGGGTTTACCATAATTTAATATTTAAACAGAGAAGGAATTAGACCTCTGGCCTTTCCAGGCCTAAAAGCTTTTGAAACCTACAGTTGAACTTTTTGTTGTTGTTGTTGTTGAGATGGAGTTTCCCTCTGTCGCCAGGCTGGAGTGCGGTGGCACGATCTCAGCTCACTACAACCTCTGTCTCCCGGGTTCAAGCATTTCTCCTGCCTCTGCCTCTCAAGTAGTTGGAACTACAGGCTCGAGCCACCGTGCCCAGCTAATTTTTCTGTTTCAGAGACGGGGTTTCACCATGTTGTCCAGGATGGTCGAACTGTTGACCTAGTGATCTGCCCACCTTGGCCTCCCAAAGTACGAGGATTACAGGCATGAGCCACCAGCCCAGCCAATTTTAAATACTTGGTCTCGTGGATTTTCTCCTTAAATACAAACCAACTTACAAACGACACCATTTGATTTCAAAAATACTGTCACCATAACCAATGGCACAAATAGGTCACCAATGCATAATTAAATTGTTTCTTTGTAGTCTCAACTACTGGAGAGGCTAAGGCAGGAGCATCACCTGAGTCCAGGAAGTCCAAGCTGTAGTGCATTATTATTTTGCCTTGAAAAGCCCCGGCACTCCAGCATTGGCAACATAGGGAACACCCCTCTCTTAAAAAAAGGAATAAAGAAAGTATAATTGGCTACTTACATCTGGCCATTACTGTGTCACAATTATCACATAAGGAAAGTCAGGCAGGCCGGGCGTGGTGGCTCAAGCCTGTAATCCCAGCACTTTGGGAGGCCGAGGCGGGTGGATCATGAGGTCAAGAGATCGAGACCATCCTGGTCAACATGGTGAAACCCCATCTCTAC